CGCAGCACACTGTGCTCTCAAATGCTCACCTCTCGCTCTCACACACGCACACGCACACTCACACTCACTCACTCACTCGCACTCACACTCACTCACTCGCAATCACTTTCGCTCTCACTCTCACTCTCACTCTCACCCGCACACTCACACCCACTCTCACTCTCTCACTCTCTCACTCTTTCACTCAGACTCACACTCACACGCTTATAGAAATGTGTACTGATGTGAATGCGGTGCCACACGTCTGCCTGAGTTAATTAAACCAGCATAGACCCAGATAGCTAGGCAGCATCCCACAACCTGTTGACATGCGACTGGCTGGAACAAGAATGTACACAGCCTGCACGCGCAGCCAGCTCACAGCACCAGCGCCGGCACCCGGCACCCACCTTCAGCACCAGCAACCTGTCTCCACCACGTGCGCAGCCAGCTCACAGCACCAGCACCAGCGCCGGCACCGGCGCCCAGCGCCAGCACCAGCAACCTGTCTCGAAAGCGCGCGCGGGCAACTCATTGTTATTTGAAGTAAGAACCGCATAGCTTCGCTATCCGGGGAAAAAACCTGGTATACCAGGAGGACAAGTAGTAAGTTAAAGGCCATCGCTTTTAGGTTGGAGGCCATCGCAAGGAAGTTGAAGGCCAACGCCTTATAAGGTTGGAGGCCGTCGCTAGTAGGTGGTAGGTAGTATGCACAAGCAAGACAAAAGTGACAAGTAGCAAGTAAAAGGCCATCGCTTTAGGTTGGAGGCCATTGCAAGGAAGTTGGAGGCCAAAGCCTCAGGTGTGAGGCCATCGCTAATAGGTGGTAGGTAGTATGCACAAGCAAAACAAAAGTGACCAGTAGTAAGTTAACGGCCATCGCTTTTTGGTTGGAGGCCATCGCAAGGAAGTTGGGGGCTCCTAAGGTTGGAGGCCGTCTAGTAGGTGGTAGGTAGTATGCGCAAGCAAAACAAAAGTGACAAGTAGTAAGTTAAAGGCCATCGCTTTTAGGTTGGAGGCCACCGCAAGGAAGTTGGAGGCCAACGCCTAAGGTTGGAGGCCGTCGCTACTGGGTGGTAGGTAGTATGCACAAGCAAAACAAAAGTGACAGCGAGCAGCTGTTCAAAAGTTTAAACAGCAGGTACGGAAGTTTGCGTCCAAACTTCCATCCAGTCGATTTCCATAGCTTCATTGGCGTGACTAGGAAATCGACCGTCACGCCCCCTGCTGTAAAGGGAAAAAAATCCAAAAGGAACCTTCTGACTCCAAAGGTTACACACACAGACACACACACGCCCGAAGGGAGGTATGTGTGGCCTCCATCCTGCCCGGAAAGGAGGCGCCCCAATCCTGCCCGGAAAAGGGGTCCTGCGAAGCACATGCGCGCGCAAAGGAGACAGATGAAAATGAGAAAGACGAGACAGACAAAAAATGTGTGTGGTTGCCGATGAAGAAGAACCAAGTGAAGAGGGACAACCGATGAGCCAAACCTCATTGTAACAAACCTGGGCCACCTGATCCTAGTCGTAAGTAAAATACGCGTGGGTGTATGTGTACAAGCTAAGGTCCGGACGAAAGTGCGCGCAAGAGAAGGAAAGGATGAGGATGAAGAGACATGAAGACAGAAAGACATGAAAGAAAAGAAGGGAAGACATCTGTGGGGGCCAATGAAAGGGGAACCAAGTGAAAGGGGACAAACCAATGACAGCCCAAACCTCATTGAAAAACCTGTTGCAAAAGTCTGGTTTGCATGTAAGTACGCTACGCGCGAGAGAAGTGTGAATGCGGTGCCACACGCCAGCCTGAGTTAAAAAGCCTGAGATACCAGAAGGAGAAGTAGTAAGTTAAAGGTGATCACTTTTAGGTTGGAGGCCATCGCAAGGAAGTTGGAGGCCAACGCCGAAGGTTGGAGGCCGTTGCTAGTAGGTGGTAGGTAGTATGCGCAAGCAAAACAAAAGTGACCAGTAGTAAGTTAAAGGCCATCGCTTTTTGGTTGGAGGCCATCGCAAGGAAGTTGGGGGCCAACTCCTAAGGTTGGAGGCCGTCGCTAGTAGGTGGTAGGTAGTATGCGCAAGCAAAACAAAAGTGACCAGTAGTAAGTTAAAGGCCATCGCTTTTAGGTTGGAGGCCACCGCAAGGAAGTTGGAGGCCAACGCCTAAGGTTGGAGGCCGTCGCTAGTAGGTGGTAGGCAGTATGCGCAAGCAAAACAAAAGTGACAGCGAGCAGCTGTTCAACAGTTTAAACAGCAGGTACGGAAGTTTGCGTCCAAACTTCCACCCAGTCGATTTCCATAGCTTCATTGGCGTGACTAGGAAATCGACCGTCACGCCCCCTGCTGTAAAGGGAAAAAATGTGACTCCAAAGGTTACGCACTTAGGATAGGGTGTACGGAGCTGAAAGTGGTGCCACACGCCAGCCTAAGAAAACCAAATCCTGAAAAACCAGGTGAGGGGGCCTGAGCGCCTTTAGTTAAAGGCCCAAATTCCAAAGCCACGAAGCGACGAACAGGTCGAAGTGACGGCGGTCGCTCTTGTCTGCAGAGTGCATTAGCCCTTTACGGAAACTTAAAAATTGTTGCAGGTACGTCCAGCTGGCCAAGCTGGATATCCCATTTCACTGGTAGCTTCGTTGGACACAGTCCCAGTGAAATGCTGTGTCCCCCTGCTGAAAAAGAAAAGAGAAAAGCCAACCAAACATTTCAAACGGATCCCTGTGATTACAAGGGGCACACACGCACGCCTCCTTGAAGGGAGGCAAAAAGAATTAAGGCCAGGACGGTTGTGTAAATGTGCACGCGGCAAAGACAAAAGGATGAAGACATGAGAAGGAGGACAAGACGGGACAAAAAGGTGTGTGGTTGCAATGAAAGAGACACCAAGTGCACAGGGACAACCGATGAACCCCACCTCATTGTAAAGACCTGGGCGACCTGAAACCTGTGTAAAAACTGTATGTAGAAGTGCGCGTACGCACTAAGGCCGGGACCAATGTGCACGCAAACGAAGAAAAGGATAAGATGACCTGACATGAAGACAGGAGGACATGAAAGAAAAGAGGAAACCAAAGGTGTGTAAAAGCGGAAAAGGATGAAAAGGGAACCAAATGGAGGGGACGAGAACCGATGAAGCCGAACCTCATTAGAAACACCTAGGAAGACCTCGCCTCGTTTGCATGTATGGGACAGACTCCAATGAGTCTAAACGAATTTGGGCCGCTACGGCCACGTACGCCGTGCAAAAATGGCTGGCTGCTCAGACCGCTGTGCGGTCACGTAAAGGCATGAGCCATCTTGGCGTGCAATAATTCAGCAAATCTTGGCAAATGAAAAACCAGGTGAGGGGGCCTGAGCGCCTTTAGTTAAAGGCCCAAATTCCAAAGCCACGAAGCGACGAACAGGTCGAAGTGACGGCGGTCGCTGTTGTCTGCAGAGTGCTTTAGCCCTTTACGGAAACTTAAAAATTGTTGCAGGTACGTCCGGCTGGCCAAGCTGGATATCCCATTTCACTGGTAGCTTCGTTGGACACAGTCCCAGTGAAATGCTGTGTCCCCCTGCTGAAAAAGAAAAGAGAAAAGTCAACCAAACATTCGAAATGGATCCGTGTGACTACAAGGGGCACACACACACTGACTCTCCTCACTCACACTCACTCTCACTCACACTCACGCTCACTATCTCTCATTCACACTCACACTCACACTCATTCACACTCACACCCGCTCGCACTCACACTCACACTCGCCCACCCGCTCTCACTCTCACACTCACACTCACTCTCACCCTCTCACTCTCTCACCCTCTCACTCTCAGTCACGCTCTCACTCACTCACTCTCACTCCCTCATTCTCTCTCTCTCTCTCACTCTCTCACTCACCCTCACCCTCACTCACACTCACTCTCACTATCTCTCACTCACACCCACATTCTCACTTTCACACTCACTTTCACACTCACTCTCACACTCACTCTCTCTCACACTCCACTCACTCTCACTCACCCTCACTCTCACTATCTATCCCTCACTCAGACTCACATTCACACTCACATTCACTCTCACACGCACACTCACACTCACTTTCACTCTTGCTCTCACCCTCTCACTCTCTCTCATTCTGTCACTCTCTCACTCTCACTCACGCTCTCAACGGCGCACACACTCACACTCACTCACACTCACTCACCCTCTCACTCTCTCACTCGCATTCTCACTCTCACTCACACTCACTCTCACTCTCACTCATTCACACTCTCACCCTCACTCTCACAATCACCCTCACACTCACCCTCACACTCCCACTCTCACTCACAGTCAGTCGCAATCACACTCACCACCGCCGCCACCATCACCGCGATCTCCACCTTCATCACCGCCATCACCTCTCTGGACCTCAATGCTCCTAGATCTCTACAACCTCGTAGGCAGCGAAGATGCCCGGTATCCCTTTGGGATTGAACTTATGCTTTTGCTTCAAACGGCACCTTCTCACCGTGAAACTCTTTGCGCCATCGTCTTCTCCGCGTTCGATGTTCAATAAGTGGCTCCGCGCCAATTGCAAAAACATGGTGGAAGACCTGCCTCGAGCATACGTGTGGCTGTGGTGGTCATCATGAACTGATTTCTCTCAGCAAGTGAGTTGTCCTGGGGATGATGCGGTAATGAATGGTCGAATGGAATTTCAATTGCTTTATAACTACTTCAAATCTCGCATAGGCAATCTTGATCTTCTTCAGTCCTTTGAAGTGGTTGACTGCATTGATAACATCGGCAGTGTACTTTTCCATTGATGGATTAGCACACATCATACCTGTGTAGCGATCTCGTATCGCGAAGATCTCTCTTTCAGAAACAAATCCTTGATCCGTTGTATTCCGTTATTCTCTTGGTATCAATGAAGTCGAACCTCACCAAATTCTTGAATACCTTAGGTTTTCTCTTGAATGCACCTGTGTGTGCCTTGAAGTGTTTCATCTTGGCCCTGATGCACGACAAGATCGCCATCTTACTCGCTCCATCGACAACAGGAACATGATCTTCAGGTTCTTCCTTTTCTTCATCTTCTCCAGGTGATGAGGTCGCGCTAGCTGATTGCGATTCTTGCGTGTTTTCTTCTTTTATCTTCTTCAGAATTGCGTGATCTTGACTTCCGCTGTCTTTGACGTGGTGCGATTCCATAGTATGATCGACAGACACCGGTCGGCAACCGTTGCCAATCTTGCCGGTAATGAGATTTGATATATAATTTAAGAATATATCAATATCAATATCATCCTTTGTGGGAACCCAGAGATCAGTATCTTTCACATTGTAAGGGATGTTTCCTTCGACTTCGAGCATTTATCTTCTTGTGTTCAGGTGATCTCATGTAGGGTGTAGTATTCGCTGCCCAAACGAATGAATATCCTTCTTCCACGTACTTCTTCCCAACTGGTGATTCGTCCATAACATAGGGGGTTCATGTTGTGTTCAACTCTTCAAATGAAGATTTGCCTCGGTGGATGTGTTCGTCACACCGTTTGCGCGTAGCGTGGCACCGGGTTGTCAGACGAGACCATGTCCGCGTTCTGTATTTATGATGAATTTGGACGTTGGCTTTCGTGGTGGTACTGAAAGTGTCTGCGCATTTGCCAAGATACCATGCTTGCCACACATGTGGAATCAATCTGCGATTGAACCCAAGTCCATCTTCATTGTCGAATCGCATGGTGATGGCGATATCGCCGTTGGGGCCAACAGAAATGTGAACTTCTTTGACGTCGGTACGCTTTGGGAGATGGACAACAACCTCCCAAAGCAGAAGTGGGGGATGAAACTCCTTCAAGCCTTCTCGGACCAGTCACCGCCGAGGAGGATTGCAGAGATACTCGGCCATCCTCACGGCCATCATGACCAAATACGGTCCTTACCTGGAAGCTGCTGCGATCGAGACCTTTTTCTATGGGACCGAGCGCAATCGGTCGGAGAACCTCTCAAGCTATGTGGCTGCACGCGCTGCAGGAGATGGAGGCGCACCTTGGAGAGAAGCTGCCAGGTCGGCTCGCAGGGCGTATCCTTTGACGAAGGCATGTTGGAAGCAATTGCATTGGAGGAGGACCAGACGAACCCAAAGTCACGGCTATGCGTGATTGGTTGGGAGGACCCTCAAATCCATGAAGTGGAGCGTTCCTCACCGACTCCTTTGTCAACCTCCCTGCATTGCTGTCTTCAGTTGGCTGCCTCTCGCAAATGGCAGACAAGAGTTCGAGAGTCAAGACCGCCTTTTTTCAAGCTCTGCCAACAACTCGGCAACCCCGTGACGAATCTCTGGAAGGATATGATCCTCGCCAATTGCTGCTCTTGTGCGCCGAGCTCTATGGCTTGGTGAGCGGACCATCATGTTGGCGGCGCAGTTTGCTCAAGTTGGCCACGGAAGATTTGGGCTTTGAGGTGAACCCCTACGACAAGTGCGTGCTCACTTTGCCCTCTGCCGATCCTAGCAAGAAGCTCACGGAAGGCTTCCTCGTCATTGAAGCCGACGACATTGCTGAAGCTGGATCTGCGAGGCACTTTGAACTGATGACCAAGATGGAAAGCATGCTCACGTTCGGAAAGGTGGACAACCTCCAAAGCAGCACTGCGTCGAACTATGCTGGACGACGACTCCGGCAAAGGCCTGCGTGATTTTTCCTCTGAGGCCGACATGGACGAGTTCATCTACACTCGTCTACAGAGCCGATCACGCGCTGAAGAAGGACTGGGCGAAAGTCAAATTGTCCGAGAACGAAAAAACGCAGCTGGCTTCAGCGTTTCCAGAACCTACAGTGTCCCACATCATGGCAGCCGATGCCATGGTTCGCCATGTGAAGACAAGCCCCATCAGGATGGTCATCCACAGCATTGAGGCTGACAGCAGCTTTGACACGAGCGGACGTGAACGCTCGCAGCACGGCTGGTTGCTTGGATTCACCAGTCCTTGGTTGAACCAAGGACGAGAGGCTCCAGTGTCGCTTATGCAGTGGCGCTCCAAGCGATTGAGGAGAAAAGCCGCTTCCAGCTTGCTCTGCAAGAGCGAGCTGCAACAGCCGCCCTTGAGGATGCCTTCATGGAGAGCATCCGCATGTCGCACTTCAAGCCAAGAGTGCGCCAGAAGTCAGAGGATGAACAGCTGGCAGCAATGGGTTAAAGCGCTGTCATTGCCAGCGGGTCAACCCCAACTCCGTGGTGATTGTGGACGCCAAGTCCTTGTTCGATGCCCTCTGCTCGGACCAGTGCTACGGAGATGATGAGCGTTCAGCCTTGGAGATCGCAATTGTCAAGGAGAGTTTGTCGATTGTGGGGGGGCGACTGAGATGGATCCCGCACAATTTGAATGTAGGTGACGCCCTGGCCAAATTGGAGGGAGAGCGCGCTGGTCCACTCATCCAGCTCCAAAAGACCTCATCCATGAGGATTGAGCAGGAAGCTGAAGTGTTGCAGCGGGGCAAGCAAAGCGAGCGCCGCATGAAGACCAGCTTTGGTGGACTAGAGTTTTGGGGGTTGAGTTGAGTGAACTTGAAAAGGAATCCACATGTCAGTTGCGGTGTCCACCAAAGCATGAGTCCCACTGGCCGCAGACGTCTTGAGCTCCGACCTTCGCTGTCAAACCCGCGCGCGCGTCGCGGTGCGTTGTTTCACGTGCGAACTACACCTCTTTGTTGGAATCCCAGGATTCCAGGTCTGCTACTGTGCGTCAACCCAATCTTGATGCGACAATGAATTTCAATGCCTCTTAGTGCAGCTCATTGCCGACTTGTAGGCAGTGACACCTGGCAAGTCAAAAAGCTGTGTCTGATAATTTCTCATATGAAGCGCAGCTTTTTGCACGAAACTTTTAGTTCAACTGAAAAAGAAAACAGGTTCTTTCTGAGCCCGGATTATCGAGTAGGATTTATCGAAGCGTGTGAGTCATCTCATTTGTAGGTGCTGTTGGTAGACCGTCAGACCCCTCCCGATGACAACATTTTCATGTGATCAGTCCCAAGCAGTCGGACATAGTACTTGATATGACACAATTATTTAGAGTCATGCGTCATCGTCAATGACTCTAAATTCCCACCGGTGCATTCGAAACATATGAGTGAAATAGATTTTTATACAACAACAATGCTAAATCGTATTCACAATCGATGGCCAAATCTACATGATCATAACATGTCAACAAAACTTGCAATTACAAAAAATCAACAACCAGCCGATGATACAGTCTAAGGTCCACACTCCGTGAGTTTTGCTGAACTTCGTTCTCGGCTCTTCATGGACATGTCGCAGTTTGGATACCAATCCTGTCACATCATGTCAAGGCTGTTTCAAAAAACCCAAGGATGTGACAAAACACTCAATCAATAAAACAAACTCCTGATAGAGGCCGCAAACTTCCTGAATCAGTTTCATCACACGAGAAAATTGTTCAAACGTACGTTGAATTTTCTCCAGTTGTAAGAATATTGCCTTCAGTGGAGTCCACCGATGCGATGATAGTGCAACAATTGGACTCCTGGCCAGAACCATTTGTTGAACATGTCCTGCCCCCCTCCCAAAAAATGACCCGCCTTCATATTCAAGATTTGAAGTCCAACGTGGCAGATCTTTTGAACAGAACAAAAACGGCCAGAAAAGCGCGCGGTGTTATGTGTGTTTGTTTCACGTCGTTCTTAAAATTGGCTTTGTTCTTGTTGCTTTTCACGCTTGATGATTACTGTTGTATTTTTGTGCATGGACAAAGCCAAAGGAAAACACGATAAGAAAAGAACATCGTGCGTTGATCTGTGCTGGTGTGCTTTTGTTACCTTTGTTTCATAAATGTTTCATGATTCGAAACTCGTCGCAGACACTTCTGGAAACCATGACTTCCAGAGCCATTCAATATAGATAACTTTCCGAGAACGTGGTTCTCCTTTTGCACTTTTCAGATACAATGACTTGTGCAGACCTTTGAGTGTGACCAGTCGTTGTAGACTAGATAGCAAAATTTTGGATCAAATGGGGAGTGAACCTCACTAACCGGTAGCGACGGGGATTTTGGAACCGTCGCGCGCCAGGAATCGTGGGCCACGACCTTTGCGCCAAACAAGGTGATGTCAGAGGAGAAAAACTCCAAAAACACCGGGAGCCGCGGCCTCAAAGCGGCTCAAAACTTTCCAATCAAAGATTGAAAAAGGCAGTGCGACCGTGTTCTACATGTTCTACGTGTTCCGTGCTCGGTTTGCAATTGCATCTGCGTGAGCAGTGGCGCCAGGCAAAGGAAAAGAATCAGGCTGGCCACTTCTGGGCATTGTCTTGGTGGATGCCTTTTTGCCATTTGGAATGAACGGTTCATTGGTTCTTTTTTGCGAGACCTTCCAGAAACCTTTCGCCCACCCTCACCGACACCGCAGGCATTGCTTCTGGAACCACCTCTGTTGGGGCAGGCCTTACAAACCGTTGCTGTGTCACGTGAGACCCTAGATGTTATGCAGCTCAGTATGTTATTTGGATAAGCCTTCCGTGCTTTAGGGGAACGGCCGGCCTGGTGTCAGCTGACTGCGAAGTTGCGGTGGTGGTCTGAATCCCAAAAGCAACATTTGCCTGCCTGGACCTCGATTTTGGGCTTGGCGCAAAAATGCCATGATGAGATCGTGACTTGTGATGTGGCGCACCGTCACGAACTCGTTGGCGAAAACACTAGTTACTTTAACGAGCCGGTGTGGTTCAAGTAGGCAGTTATGGACAAAAAACGTCACGCGTCGAGCCTTGGAAGCGGGAACTGCGAAAGATTGATTGTCCCGACGGTGGCTTGCACTGAAGCCTGAAATTGTGTGCCTAGGGAAACATTGGTCACCCTCGCGCCCACATATTTTTGTTTTCTGCTCCTGATGGCGCTTGGGGCGTGGCCAAGAAGAGTTGAAGATGGCGTGAACTTGCCAAAGCGAAGTAATCACCGATCGGAATACAAGAGCCCAATCAAGGTCCGGAATGCAGCAGCCCAGCTGACGCATCAAGAGGCCGAACTACCCGCCATGCCAGTGCACAGGAGAGATCAAGATCCGAGCGCGGTGGTCATTGGGTCCGGAAGGACGAGCCCCGAGATGCTCGGTAGGAGCTGATGCGGTTATTTCTGCCCTTCCCATGCTTTTCGTTCGTCCTAAGCGCGATGTACCGTTCTAGCAAATTCAGTAGATGAACCTTCGTGGGTGGCAGCTTTGTACAGTTTTTGTCTTGCAGCCTTTTGTGTACATAGCACTGAGACCAGCATGCTTCAGAGAAAAGAAAATTCGTGTCTGTTTTGTTTTCAACTTGGCTCCAGTTATATGGTGCTCTTACGCAATGCATTCAATGCCATAGCATTTGGCTCAAGGTACCTGTTGTGCGATAGAAAAGCAGCTCATTCGCCTTCGCTCAATCAGTCTTGTGAACCTTGTCAGGTTGTGGGTACCATCCAGGGATACTGTTGTCCGCACGCTCAGCTGTGGGGGATTCCTCACCCACCCCATTCTTTGGGGTCTCTGCCAGGATTTGGTTCAGGTAAGCAAGTGCGTATCTTTTTGCCCAGGCTGCCCCAGAAGCCATGGGAACGCAACCAGTAAAGGGCAGTTGAATTTCTCCTCATTCAAATGGCTGTCAGGACAGCTTTGCAGTTTGAAGCCATTCCACATCGCAAGTGTGAACAAAGCGTGCGCACAAATCACATCCTTTAACTTTCACTGTTGTGTCTGGTCCTATCTTTCTAAGATTTGAGGACCCTTGTGTCAATGATTAATGATTGGCATTGGGTTGGGCCAAGGACTTTGCAAACGAGTCCTTGCAGCCAAGGGCCGCCCAAGCAAGGCCCAAACAAGGACCGCAAACAAGGGTCCTTGCTGGTTCTTGGGGGTCCTTGGCAAACCCCTTGTTAATATATATGTATATATTGCTGTGTTGTGGCGCAGCCCAGCACCCCTTTTCATTTTCTTTTAGGCGACAGGATGTCATGCGACAGACACAACGCCCAGCAAAATCGGTAAAAATAGGTAAAATAATACTTCCCCTTAATGCCAAATTCTTTTGCACGAGTCCGCACCACTGGGGGAAGGAAAGCACGCTGGTGTAAACGCGGCGTGTCGCTGGGGAGCAGGCTTGGCGCTACTATGCGTCGAGTCTGTGGCGCACCGTGTGGCGAAATCACGTTTGTGATGTCGGTGCCATGCGGTTTGGGGCGGTCTCGGTGCCACAGCGCCCGCGAGGCTTCGGGTTGCATTGTCGTATCTATAGTCTGTTGCAGACTGCGTGGCGAAATGACGTCGGCGACGGCGCTGCGCCGTGCGGATTTGCGTGGCCTCGCTGCAAAGTGCGTTTGCGCGAGTCTGTGCCCTGGGGTTAAGGAAGACATGCGCCGCTGGCATTAAATGCGGCGTGTCACCGGGGAGCGGGGGGCGGAATGAGTGGCGGCGTGCGCGAGGCTTGGCGTTGCATTGTTTCATCTCGTCTGTTGCGCGGTGTGCGGCGAAATGACGGCGGTGACGTCGCTGCGCCATGCGGTTTTGCGTGGCCTTAAGAGAGTACCACAGCCACAGACTGAAGGTGGCAAAAGTAGTTTTGTTTTCATTTTCTCTTTGTTTAGGTCATGGTTTTTTCTTTCAATATGTCTTCATTGTGATTTTTGTCTT